GACTAACGGGGGGGCGTTAGCGACGGGGGAGAGGGAGTCGCGCGCACGCGCGGGAGAGCATGCAGATCAGACACGGATATTGTAGCTCTGTGAATACGAATAAATGTTATAGTGAGTAATAACTTGTTTCGCGTTATTTTACTTCCACCTCTAAAACACCCGGTACATCTCAGTGGCGATGAGGATAGTTTTCAGTGCCAAATTCAAACTGCAAACTCAAATAACCTCAATAAACCACGATGTCAGAAGCCAAATTCGCGTAGTTACTGCAACTCATCGCAAACCAGAACGAAACAATCCAACAGCAGGGACAGGCGATCCAGCATTTGCTCCAACGCGAGCAACCAGCAGCAACTCAACAAGCTAATCCAGTCATCGCAACGTCAGCCGATCAGAAAATGAAAAATCTCGCTGATCAGATGGTCTCTCTCACCCACGACCCCGACAACTTGACATTTGAGTCGTGGTATAATTGCTACAAGGCAATTTTTACAACACAAATCGTGGACTGAGATGACGCGATGAAAATCCAGCTTCACCTAACAAAATTCTCTCAACCAAACTATCAGCGCTTTGCGGACTCCGTACTTCCAAGGTTTCCAACCGAACACACTCTCGACGAAGCAGTCAACCTCCTAACGCCAATGTTCGGCTACCGCGAGACAAAGTTCGCTCTACGACACAAGTGTTTTAGCATCAAGAAAGACGAATCCGAAAATTTCATTGAATACGCCGCTCGCATCAACAAACAAGGTGAGAAGTTCGACGTCACCAACTGTACGGCTGACGATCTCAAGATCCTACTCTTCGTCAGTGACCTCAAAAACGCTTAGGACTCGCTTATCCTCGAAAAATTACTGGCGAAAATCGATGCGCAACACGTACAGCTCGAAGCAGCAACCACTGATCAAGCCCGAAATGCAATTAAGAAGCTCACGCTCCAGGACATCGTGAACGAAGCCCATCGATTCTCTGCCTTAAGCGAGACAAGTCCATAGTCGGAGAACCGTCAATAACATCATCCGCTTCCTCTGAAGTTTTCGCAATCAATAATCACAACAGACCGTTCAAGAAAACATGGGCCAAAGGCTCGAACTCATCCAGTCGCGATAACTCAAGCCAACTAAGTCCCACACTACCATCCTCGCCATGCCATTTCTGTGGCGGAAATCACTGGCACTGGGATTGCAATTTTTGCGGGAAGAAATGCGACAACTGTGGCGTTATCGGACATAAGGCAAGGTTCTGTGCATCGACCATTGATTTCTTCAAGCGAAATTCACGATTCAACCAAAGTCAACGTCAGTAGAAAATCCGACCACGAATCAACAGCTGTAAATCAAATCGGAAAAGAACAAGGCAGATCCTTGCAACGCAAATTCGTTACTCCAAGTATCAACGGAGTACAGATCAAGCTTCAAATCGATACAGCTTCTGACATCACAATCATCTCCTACACCAATTGGAAGCGGTTCGACAAGCCAGCACTTAAATCACCAATCAAACCACCAAACAGCGCTTCAGATCACCCGATTCATCTTTTCGGCTCATTTGAGTGTCAACTGCAACTTAACGATAATACTGCTCACAGCACTTGCCATGTCTCAAGCCGCCTCGACTTGCTCGGCATCAATTTTATCGGTGCTCTCGGGTTATGGGACGTCCCTTTCTCCTCAGTGTGCAACAAGATCACCGTCAGCTCCTTGCAAGATGATCTCACAACTGAAACCAGCAAAAAGTTTCCGCAACTTTTCTCCGAGGGGCTCGGCCTCTGTACGAAACCAAAAGTCTCACTCACACTCAAGCCAGGCGCTAAGAAAGTCTTCCGCAAGGCACGGCCAGTTCTCTACGCAGCAGCACCAGCAATCGAAGCCGAAATTGAGCGACAACAGCATTTCGGAGTTTTCACACCAGTCTCGTTCTTCGATTTCGCTACTCCTATCGTCGCCGTCAAGAAAAAGAACGGCAAAATTCGCATTTGCGGCGACTACTCAACGGAACTCAACGACGTTCTCGAACCAAATAAGTTTCCTCTGCCTATCCCCGAGCAAATTTTCGCATCGCTAACCGGCAAGTGCATCTTCAGCAAAATCGACCTCTCAGACGCTTTTCTCCAGCTCGAACTCGAGGACAACTCAAAAAAGCTACTCACCGTCAACACGCACTGCGGTCTTTTTCAAATTAATTGGATGAAACCCGGTATCAAATCGGCACCGGGAGTGTTTCAGGAACTAATGTGCAAAATGCTCGCAGGAATTGAGGACGCTTTTGCATTCATCGACGACATCATTATCGGAGGAGTCAATGAAAATCATCACAAACAACTCCTGTTCAAAGTTCTTGGCCGCATCCAAGATTACGGATTCAAGCTCCGCATCGAAAAATGTGAGTTTGGCAAACCATCGATTCTTTTCTGTGGCCATATTGTCGACAAAGACGGCACTCGACCCGATCCCGAAAAGATTCAGCAGATACAATCAATTCCACGCCCGGAAGATCTTTCTCAACTTCGTTCGTTCTTGGGCGCAGCGAATTATTACGGGAAATTCATCGAGAGCATCAGGGAATTACGTGGACCACTCGATGAACTCACCAAGAAAAACGTCAAGTTCGACTGGCAACCTAAGCACGAAAAGGCTTTCACTGAGCTTAGAAAAGTCCTCGCATCTGATTTGATCCTCACACATTTTGATCCGAATAAGAAGATCGTTGCAGCAGCTGACGCTTCATCTTATGGGAGGGGCCTTGATGCACGAATTCCCCGATGGAACTCTTCGCCCGATTATGTATACGTCGAAAACATTTAATACCGCCGAGAAAAATTATCCACAAATCCAGCGGGAATCAACTGCACTTGTTAAAGTCGTCAAGCATTTCCACAAATATCTCTACGGACGCCGATTTGAACTTCAGACCGATCATAAGCCGCTCCTCACAATCTTCAATTCAAAAGATGGAATTCCCGTCATCACTGCCAGCCGCCTTCAGCGATACGTCTTCACGCTGCTCGCTTACGATTTCAGCATCAAATTTATTGACACTGCTAGTTTCAGTTATGCAGACGTCATTTCTCGACTCATTTCAAATCATCAGCGCGAGGACGAAGACATCGTGATTGCCTCGATTCGGGAGCGGGATTGCGAGTTTCAATGTTTCGCAATCGACACAGCCAAATCTCTTCCAATCAAGTTCAACGATATCAAGGAAGCAACAAAAAACAGTTCTCACCAAAATCGCCAATTACATCAACAATGGCTGGCCGCAGTCAGGTAAACAAATCCGTGATTCTGATGTCTCCGCCTATTACCACCAGCACGATGCACTCCTCATCATCAACGGCTGTATCTTTTTCGGCAACCGAATCGTCATTCCGGCTCCACTTTGCAGGAAAATTCTCGAGGAGCTCCATTTTTGATCACCCCGGCATTGTTCGCATGAAACTTCTCGCCCGCAGCAAGGTTTTTTGGCCGACAATTAACAAAGACATCGAACGAGTGGTCAAAACCTGTTCAGATTGCGCAAAACCGCCCAACCGATCAAGTGTACACTTCAATCGAGGCCGATTTCTACTCGCCCTTACGAACGCATTCATGCTGATTACGCAGGGCCCATTGATGGATTCTATTACCTTGTCATCATCGACGCCTTCAGCAGCTGGCCAGAAATTTTCAAAACGTCATCAAACAACATCAACCAAGACAATTGAGTTGTTCCAAGAAGCTTTTACTCGCAACGGACTCTGCGACACACTCGTTACTGATAACGGACCACAATTCACTTCACAGCCGTTTAAAACATTTATTGAAGCTCAAGGAATTAAGCACGTCACCTCAGCTCCGTACCATCCGCAATCAAACGGCAGAGCCGAGAAATTTGTTGATCTTCTCAAAACGGGACTTGTAAAGGCACGAGGAAATTGCGACCAGAAATTGCGTGAATTCCTTTTTACTTACCGCTTCACGCCTTCTCATGCTCTTGGTGACAAGTCCCCATCCGAGCTGATGAACAGCCGCACCATGAAAACGCACCTCGATCTACTCAAGCCTCCGCAACAATCCTCGTCTCAACGCAACACATCGATAGAACAAAATTTCAACACAGCTCATGGCGCCAAATGGAAAGAATTTGATATTGGCTCCACTGTCTATTACAACTCTGCAAGCCAAACAATAGCTGGGAATGGTCACCAGCCATCATCACTGGTTGCATTGGCACGATCAACTACTCATTGAAACTCAATGACGGCCGTATCATCAAGAAGGCCCACGTCAATCATTTGAAAGCTCTTTATACACAAAACGAAATTATTGACGCTTTCGATCTTATCTCGGACAGTTCTGAGATTGAACCCATGATCATCCCTCAGCCGCAACAAGATCCTCAAGACGACTCACAAATAATTCTTAAAGATTCCTACGTTTTTGAAGATGCTGAGGATGGGTTACAAGATGTGGAAAATGAGTTTTAGGAGCCTAGCAACCAACCGCTCCCTCCAATAATTCCGAAACTTCGTCGCAGCACCAGAAACAATGCAGGCGTTCCACCACAGCGCTACAGATGGGAGGTTTAAATCTTAGTGGGGAGGAATGAGGTGACGCCAGATACGAACGGGCCCTCGGACGGACGGCGGCGGTGAGGGGGAGGCAGCCACGCGCGCGCGTATAAGGATATACAAATCGGTCTGTAGCTTGCGGATGGAAATAAATAATATAGTGAAGAATAACTTGCTTCGTGCTATTGACTTCCACCTCCGGTATCCTCGGAACACCTCAAAAACTATAACGAAAGCCAAAATTCAGCTACAGCTATTTTAGCTGTATTAATAGCTGTAAGTCGTGAAAACTATGTACATACATGATGTACATCAAGCGTACACGTGTACCATGTACCGCGCATGCACATGGATAGAAATTAAAATAAAGCCAAAATAGCTGTAATTTGGCTGTAATTTGTACGTCACAGTAAAAGCAAAGAGTAACCTAATTATCAGCTTTATATTAAATTTAATATGTATATTAACATGGTCATTCAAACTGATGCCATTCACTTAAGCAACTCAAAAATTGTTACTTAAGGATATGTATGTAAGATTTGTAATCAATGTACTTATGAATTTGCGTCCGCGCTTATATATTTAGATGTATATTATAAAATGTAATATTTGAAATGATTAATTAATCTTTAAATTTGATTTAAGTTTAGTGAGGCAAAGATTTCAGATTGTCCGGTTCAATCCCAGATAAAATAAAATTTAAACAATTTTTTTTCAATATTATTACATAGTTTTAAATTTAAATTTAACTTTTATTGAATATTAATTAATACAGGGTGTCTCGTACTCAATAGTACAGCGCTTGTGGGCAGGTAGTGTGGACCAAACTGAATAAAAAAGTCTTCTACCATTTTGCGATCTTCACAATAGTTATCGAGATACTAAGCATTTTAAAAAAAGAAAAAAATTTACACAATGGCCAAGTTTTTGCTTCACTATGATTCTATTGATCATTTTAATAACTTTAAGTCTGTTTTACGAAACTTAAAGTTATTTGGTAAGACAGTGGCATTAAACTTTTGCTGCATATAATTTTGAATATGTTACGTCCGGCGTGCATTAAACCGAAATATTTTATGTATTTATCTCACTTCGTTATCAGATTAGTGGCATGCCGTTCTCGACTGCTCGAGTGCCGGCGCACCTGACAGAATGCGCGGCAGCCACAGGGGCGCGCGCTCGAGCCATTCGAGACGCGCGTGACTGCTGACGAACAAGTTCCTTTATTTTCTATTAATTCAGACTTTCACTTCCAATTATTCTTATTTCTACTAAATACAATGTTCGAATAATAACTATTGTCAAGATTCCGCGAAGTGTTTGTGCGGAATAAATTCTCGGAGACGGGCGACGAAAATACCCTCTCTACCACCGAAATCAGGGGTATATATTCAGACGATTTCGGAGCCCGGTTGTCATTCGATTTTCGAAAGTCTAGATCACTCAAGTCTACATAAGAATATCGATAATTATCCTGTGCCAAAAGCCAGAGTAAATTCGAGTAAACTTTACTCTTCATCTAAATAAGACTTTCGGAAGTCGGGTCTCGTTAAACCGTGTATGTTGCAGGGTGTTTCCGACGCAGTAGTCTTCGAGGTAGCGAATTGACGAGAGAATTTGTACACCGATCAATAAAAGGTGAAATATATTTCTTCCCATTTTCATTTCTTTCTTTTTCTATAACGAGTGTATTCGCGATACCAGTGAGTGTGTGTGTGCTCGGAACTGCACTAGATAGCTTTCTTACTATACCTTCTTTGGGGTGCGCGCTCGCTTACATCAAGCGACTCCCATCTTCCGTTATTGTATCTCCTCTGGGGTGCGCGTTCGGTTACGTCTCCTACCTCGAATCTCTTTTATTAATTACAAACACACACCCCATTGTCAGTCGCGGATACACTCAGAGGGTTCGCACCTCGGAACACCAAACACCTCTACTATTGTAACGCGCCGACATCCGACATGAAGGCAACCACATTAATCACGGGGTTACTAATAGGACGCGAGAAATGAGACATCGGGGAAAAAGGGCGGGCCGAGCATCCCTATTAAGGAAGCTCGCAAGGGAGCTTTTCAAACTCCGCCAATTTGATCCGCGGGTATTTGATAACGTCCCCGCGAACTCGTCGAGACCACCGGGCAATAAGCCGACCATCCGTTCGGACGAGGTATTTCCTCCGGAGCGCCGGTTAACTCGGACCTCGAGGAGCGCGCCTCCCACGAGGATCCGAGTGGCCCATCCCCGTCGGCCAGTCAACAAGGAACCCCCCGTCGAACCTGCGCCCAAGGAACCCGCCCCGCGACCTATCGCCGTGGTCACTCCGACCGCTCAGGCTCCGTCGCGAAAGCAGACAAGGCCTGCTCCTCTGGGGGTGTACGCGCGCCGTCCAAGGCCATCCGCGACCGGCCCTGTAGAGATAGTCGATCTGACCTAATAAAACGATAAAAAACCGATAATTTACGGAAGTCTCTCTGTCTCTCTCTCTTTCCCTCTCTCTCACGAACCACCCTCCAGCCTCTTTCAGGTGCCGGCCTCATGTGTTGCACGATAAGGAAGCGCCGGACGAGGTTGCATCCTGCCATTGCCCTGTCGAGATGGATAGATCAGGCCGCGTGCCTGACTATCTACGTCGACGAAACGGGGGCAACGAGGCTGTGCGTAAAGTGTCGAACGGAGCAGGGGAAGGACGCATCGTGGTTCGCCGTACGCCACTCGTGCTCGGTGGACTACACCGTCTTCGAGTCGAGGGCTACGTGCGCCTCCTGCAAGACACGATTATTCGCGCACCGCCGGGCCGCCGATTGCGATCTTTGTCGGGGTACCCTGACGGATTTCAAGGACTTTGTCGAGACCACCCACGGGTGCTCTCGCGAAGACGTGCCTCCCGGCACTCTCCTCCCGGTGGACCCTTGCCGCGGACCACCGGATGTAATATTGTCTCGTCGCTTAGCCGCCTTCTCTTGCGGCTTATCAGCGGCCCGACTGGAGGCCGCTTGACCGAATACGTTCGGCTTCCCTCAGACAACGAAGCTACACCCGGACGTAACAAATAATTTAAACGATTTAATACAAAAATATTTTTGTGGTTTGGAATAAAATATTTTTGTTTCTATATTTATGTCTAATCAAATACTTGGCCATTTGTATGATCTCATATTTGTTTTTGGACAACTTTTATTCGTTAAAATAATATTTTTGGTTTAGATAAGATGTACCTAATGTACGATACGATGTACCTAACGTACACTTGTATATACACTTGGCGTAAATTTTTTTTTAATAATTAGTATCTCGATAATTATTACGAAGATCGCAAAATGGTAGAGGACTTTTTTGTTTAGTTTGGTCCACTACCTGCCCACAAGCGCTGTATCATTGAGTACGAGACACCCTGTATATAAAAAACATTTTCTATTTACTTTTATTTAATTTCTGTTTATTCTGACTGCTATGGCTATGACAACCTGTTTACAGTAAAAGAATTACGCTGTCAAATAGCTGCGACATCGTTTTCAAGATCTAAAAATGTTATCCCACTTTTACCACTACAACTTTGTCAAAATGTCACAATTATGCTGTGACAATGTTATTGCAGACGTTTTAAAGCTTCATCATGGCTATGAAGATTTCTTTACAGCAAAATAGTTGTACAGCCAAATGACTACGATATCGTTTTCAAAGTCTAAAAATGTTGTCCCACTTTTGCTGTTACAACTATATCAAGACATTATAATAATGACATTATAATGTGACAGTAGCTGTAATAGGCAAAAATGCTGCGGTTTAGAATGCGACAACATTGTCGCAGACGTTTTATAGCTTCATGTGCTACTTGAGACACGGAATAAAACCTCCAATAGACGTCCATATAACCTCCATAGCTCCATACAATATCCACGTCCACGATGGAAGTTAAATAGATCTCCAAAAGAGATCCATACTACGAGGGTCATTTGAAAAGTTTCCGGCCTTTTTAAGAAAAACTCATATTTCGAAGCAAAACAAAATTTATTTCTCGACGTAATCTCTCTGCAACTCGATACATTTGGTCCAACGTTTCTCCCATCCTTTTAAACCGTCAGAAAAAAATTTATTGTCTAAACCTGAAAAATATTGATTTACAGCTTTTCCACCTCAGCATTTGACTTATATTTTTTTCCCCCGAGAATTTTTCCAAATTTGGAAACAGGAAAAAGTCGCTGGGAGCTAGATCTGGCGAGTAGGGTGGGTGCGGAAGCAAATTCAAAACTTCAATTCGTTCAATTTT